GGGAAAGAGAGACCATCCAAACCAGCAGTCACATCTGCTCAGGCTGCCCTGGAACTGAAGTCTAAGGCACTGAAATTAGGACACAAACTGCCCTCCACCTCTAGTAAACAGCAGAGAAAACACTTGTAGAAGGCTCCTCACTGGGTGTCTGGAATATACTCTCTAAGACTGTATCTCTTTCCTTATTCTACAGAGGGAGATTAGGATACTCAGACTCTTGGTTTAGGTGCCTAAAGGTAGGCAAAATAGAAATAAATCTTGGTGCTTTGCTGCACCTTTTTTTCTGGTTTGTCTGGTATTTGCTCAGAAGACTGTGCAGCACGATTTTATTTTTCTGGGGTACTAGGAAAAAAACCCACCTTCTTTTATAAGAGTCAGGCCAAGATCTGTCCAAAATTACACTTAAAGGATTTATAAACCACCTAGAAATTGCTGTTCTTTAATAGATGCTCTTTTCTCTGGCATATAAATAATCAGATATATTGTAATTGATTCTACATCACAGCTGAAAATAGAACTTGAATGAGCAATGGTTTTGGATTTTCCATTTTCCCCCATCTGGTAACTGGTTTTCTTACTGCCTTCTGCCAGGTACTATAGTCACCTCAGGCCTGTAGCTCTGGAATCTTAGATACAAGATTAGCTTGTACAGTTCTAGTGTTCCTTCACCCTGGTCTCATTTCATAGAACACTTATAAAAACCCATTAGAGGAAGACATGGCTTCTTCAGCTGGAAGGTACAGTAGAAATTCTTGAACAAGTAAAAGGATGTGGTTTTGTTACTGTTTTTCCATATCCATGTCTGATTACTGGTAAGCTTGACAAGAACTGACTCTATTTTACTTTCCACATATGTGTACATTTTAAAATGATATGAGATCTCTGTTTTAAAATTTTGGCGAGGGGAATGCTTTCAAAATTATATGGAAATTGTATTTTAATTTCTAATTTGTCAAGACAAATACTTGGCTAGGTTTTCAGACATTACACGATTTAATAGATCTTGTTGGAGTGAGTAATGAGGTGAATTGAGGATCTGGTCCTAAATATCTTGGCAAAAATGATCATGAGAAACCATAGTGTTATCTTTATCATAAGAACTATCTTGACCATAAATCAAGCTTTGCTACTGCTCGTGTCCTAATGTGGTTGATCAGATATGTTCACTCACAGCACCTCCTTTTTTGAGGTGCTATGAGTGCCAGTGAAAGATTGCAAGTGTTCAAAGTGTTGGTTTTCATATACTTTTATATTTATAGACTGTGAAAATCATAAACAGATAGAAAGCATGTTCCTAATACATATCTCAGAGGATTGGATTTCTGCAATGTGTAATGGGTAATCCAAGAGAGAACAGTGAGTGACAGAGTGTGTAAATAGCACACCAGAGAAACTTCAGGGAGTTTACTGCCAGGGAAGATCGAATTTAAATGCTTTTAGATGTTTATAGTCACACATATATGATGGGCAAGAAGACTGCTCAGTAAAACTGTTAATTTTATCCACTAATAGCACATAATATCCCTTCAATCATGAGCCCATGTAGTTGTTTTTGAAACAAGAACATGTTGATTCCCTTCCTTTCATCAAAGTCCCACCTGCTTAATGCACTCAACAGAAAAAATGTTAGTAATAATGTTGTACTTGTTCTTTTCTGTACATTTTAATCTAAAGATTTGAATAGATTTGCAAATAGCATTTAGCCCAGGATACCTTGACAAAGTATTTAATAGAATTTCAGTGTTAAATGACAGTAGCGACCACAGAGGTCGCTGGCAGGGTTGCACAGAAACTGTAAACAGTAGAAGACACCGACTTACATTTTAGTTAGATAATATTCTGCCTGCTTGTGTTTCCTAGCTCAGGGTTCACAGTATTTCCAGTATTTATGTATTTTCTCTTGTATTCTTTTTGTAATTTGAAGATTGCAATCATCTATTTAGTCTTATTCCACAGCACAAATGGTCAGTGATTTAAACTTTTTCAAAATTGAAGTGTAATGTTCTTTTTTGCTTTGCTTTTTTTGGAAAGATCCTCAGTTTTGCATATTCTAAATAACTAAAGTTCTTAATACTGCAAAAGCTGTAGCTGCAAATTCAACACTATCACAAATTTAATTCACTCAAAAAAATACCTATTGAATTAAAATTCTCTGGTTTTGGTCTCAGGCTAAAATTTGGTATTGATGAATAGATTTTAGCATTTTTTGTCAGCCTTATCTTTTAGGAGACAGTTTATACCAACACATGATTTGTCTGCCAGTCAGTTACTCAAATTACTTTTGAATCTGTTTGTTCATTACAGATAAATTTGTCAGTACACTAGAAATCTCTAAGATTAGCTTAGTACAGTTTTGTGAAAACTGATGATAGGGTGAAATACCAAAACCACTGAGAAAAATTCAGGGAAGACTTAGTCTTTATCTGTTTTGTTTGGCAACAGTCGAATGATCAGGCAGGATAAGTGAAGCTCTGGATTAGTTGCTACATGTACTTTCTCTGGCCTGGGGAACTGAGGACATGTCAGATAGGACTGCCTAGGGGAGTAGGGCAAAGAACTGGCAAATCTCTGGGAATATTGCAATAAGGCTGCTTTAAGCAAAAAAGGTGGGTTATTATGCTGGGAAGATGATGATATAGGGGACATACGACACAAATCTATAAACCGCTAAACCTTATCAGTTCCTCTGCTTATGGGATGGCTTGTCAATTTTGTGCAAATTTTCTTCAACTCGGACATCAAAGCAGCAAAAATATCTATTTAATTTTTTCAGATTTACGTAACTCAGAAATATCAGATGTAAAATCTTGTATTTTGCATGGGGCTAGACCTCAGTGAAGGAGCCATCTTAGTAATTTTGGAGATAAGAAACATGAAAGAAAAAATAAACATGTGCTTATGTCGAAGTAGTGCAAGTATGCAATTCCAGGCAGCTACTTCCTGTATTGGTTTGCAGCTGTTTACTGATTAGATATATCTTTGTGAAAAAGCAACATGTAACCCAGTAACCGCAGGGCAAAAGACATGTATATTTTATTTTACACAGATTTTGCTTTTATATAGATTTTTTTTATGTTGCTGGTACTGCCCAAATAAAAGAATATAGGTAATGTGTGCATATGTGTCTCCCTTGCTGAAAAAAATGTGTTGCGTATCTCCAGCATCTTTTACATGAGAATTACAAAACTCTTCACTAATAAAAGTGATAGCATTTTTGTGTCAACACTGGACAGTAGAGAAATTTTAGTTTCCTTAAATTATAAATGAGGCTTAGAGTAAATGATATATCTATTATTACTGAGGATATCTTCGTAGAGACAGAATCTGCAATTTACAATTTATTTTCCTATGTCTTACTCAGAAAACCTTTTCCTTTCACACACTAATTCTTGCTCTGTATTGATATTAGTTGCTGTATAAGCAACTATGACGACTATTTGTAAAGCACCACCTGAAAAAATGCATGTGGTGTTTTACAAATAGTCATCATAGTTGCTTATACAGCTGCAGAAAATGCAGACAGGGTAAATGGTTAGGTCAGTATTTCAGCAATTTTGTGCATGCCGTAGTGGCATGTGTAGTTACATGCATGCACTCTTGATAATCCTTGGCATGCTGTGTTTTTTACACCTTCATCTTATGTACAGTAATATCCAAACTATTCTTTGTATACACACAGATTCTGTATAGGGCCAATTGTTATATTCCGTTTATGTACAAACTCTAATTTTTGTAGTCAGCCTTTCAGAAATGAACATACACAGTTTCAGCAATGAAGTTGCCCAGTCAGTAACATCATATGTACCTTGGCTCCAGAACAGTAGTTTCTTATGCTTTTGTGTACATCTCTCTTTAAGATGCATCCTGTTGTCAATAAGCAAGAACAGGCTTGCGCTTACTTACAGCACTTACTTTTTCTTCTTCCTCAAAAGGAGGGATTATGGAAGAAACTGTGTCTGTAAAAAAAATCGTGACTGAAAGAAAAGCGATCTCTTTTTTTCTCCATTTCTTTAATGTTTGAGAGGGTTTTGTTCAAATCATCAGCCATACTTTATGTAATATTGCTTAAGGATGAAGAAATGGGAACTTGCATAAGGGAAACTACTTTAGGTAAGTAATGATAACTAACCATGACAAAATAGAAACCGATACATACCTGAAATGGGATCACAATATTGATTGTCTCTCCCACTTTCTTCACCAGAGTCTGTCTGAGATGGCGTGGCAACCAGATTTTGGGACGCTCTGCAGTTAAGCATTAGCACATTAAATACAAAGATTATGATAATTTGAAATATTATAGCACAAATAAGACAAAATACCAAAGAGGAGAGGCTTGGAAACTTGAAAGCATAATAAAATTGTGCAAACACTGTTTATACAGTTAGGGAGTAGTCAGTTTTCTAAGTGCTTTCAAACGTATTTGACTACTGGATACAAATTTAGTAGCAAATCATATGTTTACAACTGAGTAGGTTTTAATGACAGCAGAATTTGTGAAACTGTATCACATCTGAAATGCCAGGTTTGGGTGACTCCTCTTGGATGTAAGCCTTCTATGTGAACTTTGTTTCTTTAGAGAACTTTATCAGTTCAGTAGAAGGGATGGGACAAAGGGTGTATTGCAGTAAGAGTGATTACAGACTACAGCTATATTGGTACTGCAGCTCCTTGTAAATTGCCATTTAGAGATATTTATGGACTTATTCTGAAAGTAGAGCAATCAATGGATTTCCTTTACCTTTCTACAATCACGCAGTTATAGTTTGTTCTTTGAGGTAGAAGGAGTGGAGTCTCATTGTAGCAGCTTACTTTTCACTAACAAAAAGAGGACCTTAGTGCATGTGTTTTCATCTGGTCCCTGCTTTCCTCTACCTCACTGGAAAGCTTTCTATATTCTCCGTGTGTTCCTTATTATTTTCCTAGTAATTTACAGAAAGAATTTCTTAACACACAGCTGGAGTATCTGTCTTCATGTCCATTTGGCTTGGAGATGCATTACTACTTTGTTTCATTTACACTGTGTCATTTCACTGTCAGTGAGACTCTGGCAGGCACCTTGTGTGAGTCAAGGTTGAGGAATCCACTATTAGCAGCTCTTGATATCTTTTGGACACCAGTCAAATGAATTATAATCTACTGCTGTTGGGTGATACACAGGGTGTTAATTAATAACCTAGGACAATCAAGTACAGATAACTGCTTTTATTTAAATAGATCTCTTGCCATAGCCAATGTGGTCATTTTGCAGTAGTGTAACAGCTCTTCCAGCAGAGATAAATATTTTAAAATGTGTCTCTAAAATACTGACAGTGCCATTACAAGAGGTGAAATGTCCATATCTTGAAAGTAAGAAGTAGGATTTTAAGACTTATGCTTTAGAAATATAAGACCTGGACAGTACAGTCATGTTCTCAGAATCAGAAGATATTTGGTGCCTAGTCTAAGTGAAAGAGCCCTTTGGGTGTTATTCTCAGAAGGCAGGATTTTGACTAGAGGAAATAGATGAGTAAGATTTATTCAGTCTAGATACTCACGCAGGACCTCTTGAACAGTAATGGGCTCTTTGATTATTGCTGGTCCACTCTCACCAGCCAAGTTTATAGCCTTTATACGGAAATGAAGTTTGTCCCCCGTGACCAGGTCTTTAATCAGTGCAGATGTGCGCTCAGTTAGTCCATGAAGAGCTGGAATCCATTCTGTAGCTGCAAGTACAGGATTTGCATCTTGTAATAATATATTATTTTTTCTACAACTGAAAGTAAACTTGTGATCAGGTAAAATTAATTTAATGTGCAATACAACACTTAAAAAGGAATAAACTAAGCTGCAAGAAGAACTCTGGATCTAGAAGACTGTATTTACATGTGGAGTTAAGGAATGTATACACTGTGTTATTCAAAATACCTAAGGTTAAGGGAATCATCTTTGGGTAGTGCCTTTGGCACTCTGTTTTATAGACCTTAGAGCTGTGGGGCTTCTCTACATTTATTATCATTAGCAAGGGGCAGGGGGAGAATTTTCAAAGTATTTTTAGCAAGAAAGTGAAGCCTTAATTTATTTTTGTCTTGGAATAATTGTATCTTCGCTGGGTGTCCAAACAGACTGGTGAGAGCTGCGTATGGTAAAAACAATAATAAATTCCACAGTTATGTGCTCTGTTATTAACTTCTCAATTGACACTGTAGAACAGAATTCTTAGTGCTTCCTTATTCTAGTGACATAGAAATACAACTAATAAAATTATTCTTTTATGATGATGACATAGGGATTCTGGTAATTCCATGATGTTATCTCATTAAAGACTATACATTATTGCTGGATAAATTATCTCCTGTAAAACTCCTAGTTTAAGTTATATGCTAATTGAACTTAGTGTCAGGGTAAATTTATTGATTGAAGTGATTATAAATTTGGCATTTGATTTTTTAATGACATAAATGTTATGTTGTAGTATCACAGTAAATTGAGTGTTGTAGATACGGTGCAGTTATACTCTTTATTATCAGACCACAAGTATTAAATCAGGTAACAGTTACTTGAAAGTTTGGCTGATGTTGTCACAGTGATGTTATTATATTGGTTTTAAGGAACACATAGTTTATACTACAAAATTATAAAAGTATAAGTGTGACTATAGAGCAGCACTGGTAGTTTTGTAATATTTTTCTGTATTAAAGTTTATAATGATTGTGAAGATGACATTATGGTCAATGTGGCTTTCATGGTTTTACAGTCATGTTGTGGTAAGTCTGGTGATGGTCGGCAAGGATGTCAGTCATAGATTAGAGTTCAAATTTAATGATACTGGATACGGTTAATTTATTGGGATATTGCAATAAAGCAATTGTAATTGTAGTATTTTAATAATGTTCAGTTGCTGCTGCGTAGTACTCATGCTTACTTACATCCATCTTTGCAGTATTCCACAATATAACCGTCTAATCCTCCGGCTCCAATCCGCTCAGGGGGTCTCCACTTCAAGGCAACAGTGCTGTCTGAAACATCTTCCACCGTAAAGTGGGTTGGTTCACTTGGTGGAGCTATAAGGAAATACACAGAAGTAAATTCTGAGAAATAGCAATATAACTGTGAGAATTCAAAGGCTATAGAAGTAGCTGAATTATATACCACTATTGGTTTTAATAAAATAAAATAGCTGAACCTCAGTTGTAAAATGTTACACCTAATATTTCATTTAATAGAAGTTCAGCATGTTTCCTATAATAGGAAGGGGAATAAGAGGTTAAGATAGTAGTTCCTATTCATGTATGAGTAAAAACCAATGAAAAAAAGATGGCTTGTAGAAGGGAGTCAAATTGTCAGCAGCAGTCTGCAGAAAAGTTTAAAAATAAAATTACATACAACTTACACCCTGATTGTAATTAGACAAAATTCACATAGAGGACCAAATTCACCAGTGGCTAAATTTGACTTCACTCATTTCCCTCTAACAATGGAGAAAATGACCAAAAGTTATGACTACATGTTTACAGAAACACTAGTTCAAATTTGTGCATTTGCAATAGAGACACGCCTGAGAAAAACATTTTGGGGCTGAAAAACTTTCACTTCAGTTGGATGTAGCTATTTCATATCTTTTCAGGACAGGAGTGTCATGGCTCTTTTTAAATCCATAGTTCAGAAAGACCACTAGCTAAATTCAGTCTTCTTAAGCATGACCGTTGTCTATTAATTAAAAAACAATCAAGAAAAGCCCTTACCAGAGAATCCCACATACACAAAAATGCTACTGTGAAACAATTGATTTCAAAAAGCAAACAGATAACTTTTTCAAAATAAAATTCAGAGTGCTGAAATATAAAATTTAGTATACATGGCATAAAAGCAATCATGTTAAAGAAATGTATGTTTGACATACTCTGTGTATATTATAAACTGAACATCTTTTGAATATACGTAACAGATTTTACATATTAGAAATATTTCACATATAAAGTAAGTTAAATACAGGTTTATAAATTGTGCAGCTGATTGAAATTAATCTTAATTCCCAAAGTTGTGCAAAAAAAAAAAAAAACAACAAACATCACCCAGTTCACATTCTGTAGCTGTGGCAAAATTTTTCATATTCAAATGGCAGCAAGGACTGTGAACAGCACACAGGAGGCAAAGGCAGTTGGGAGCATATACAACCACACAGTACACAACCAAACCCCCAAACTGCTTCTCTGAAGCAGCAAGTGTGAACTTTATCCTTAATCAAGTAAAACTCTGCCTATCCCATGAAAACTTTGGACCTTTTTTTTCAGTAGCTCCGCTTGATGGTTTTCGTTTGCCGCCTTTTGTTGCAGACCAGCCATTGTGTGTCTGAAATCCAGAATTAAGAGACCCTTCTCGCAGTTCATCCTTTCCTTCTGACCCCTTCACTGCATCATCTGCTTTTACATTATCTCCTTCAGCAGGCTGTCCCCCTTCACTGATATTTTTAGATTTAGCAATTCTAGTCATCTTAATCTCCAACAAATCGTATTTTTGTGGGTCTTCTTTCTAAAGCTTTTAGCAGGCAGGCTTTCTGAGGACTCCTTCAGTTTGCTCCTTGCTCAGTGTCTGCAGGAGGCTCTGCACTGCTGTGTTGGGAAGGATTATTTATAGAAAAATCATTCCTCAAATATTATCTTAATCAGCTATCCTTTTAGCTGTGGACAGGGACAGGATTAAGGGAGTACTGGGTGGGATACTGTGATATTTGCACCCATAAGGGAATGGGGGAAGCTGAGAGGGACAGGAAAATCTCTGTCAATTAGTTCTCCTCCTTTCCAGATCCAGCTTGACTCTTGCGCATCTAATTATAACAACTAATAATTCATCATCAATTTCATGAAACTGGAACCTCTGTGCTTCTCAGGAAGGGAAATGACACATAGGGAAGAGGAAGATTACAATGGAAAAGGTTGATTAAATACAGATATAGAGATGGTTGAGAGCCTCTTTCCTAACACATTCTTTTTAGGTATAAGGGCAGTTGAAGAGAAAAGGTGAAAATTGTCCTGTCTTGGTTTTGTCCTAGAAATAATGTAGAGTGTGTTACAACTCACCAATTGGCATGAAGGGTTGCGAGGCAGGGCTTGGCCGGGACATGCCAATACAGTTCACAGCATAAATCCGCATCTCATAAATTACTCCTTCAATCATTCGCTTGGCTTCATAAGTTAGCTCTTTTAAAAGGTCAAAGTTCAGTCTCATCCATCGATAGCTTTTCTTCTTCTTTCTCTCTAAAATATAGCCTGGAAAGGATAGCTCTTATAATGTGAAAGAACTGCAAATTATTATCTCACATGCAGGAAAACAGAAAATCACTTTTTTCTTTTTCCCAATGGCATAAAAAAGCCAAACGTGGTTGAAAATTATTGTGTATAACTGAATTGTGTGAAGCTTTGGTATTTTCCTCCAGTTTCCTTTTATATTACTTTCCTTCTATCTGATATTCTTACCTGAACAATTATACTTGGCAGAGTAGAAGTTATTTAGATTTGTCAATGTCTAGTATTAGGCTTTAAGCACATTTTGCATGCTATACGCTACTATTAAGGTATTCAGATATATGCAAAACAGAGATACTATCAGAGCTGGTATAAAAGGTAAATCCTTTCTGGTGAGAATGCGGGCATTCACTCCTAATGGCAAAGAAATGCATATGACAGCAGTTCAACAGAAAGCCCTTTCAGTGGAGGAGAAATTGCCTTGAAATATGTAAGATGACACAGAGTTAAAAAATTAATTTCTTTCTTATATTCTGCTGCAATTCACTAATCTTGACTAACAGCATAAATCTCAATGTAAAAATTTAGTTGGAAGAACAGTTTGATACTTCCCTTTTGTGGTTTTTTTTGGTGTTTTTTTTTTTTTAATGATTTATCAAAGAACTGGTGTTAGATCTGTGTCCACTGCTAAGTGGTAGAATTGTGGAGTGTTTCCCAGACAGTGCAGATACTAGCTCTACTTCAGCCCTATAGTGGAGTGAGTCCTGTCCACACACCATTTTTCTTGCTCTGATTCTCTTGGCAAGGAAAGTGAACTTGTATGACTACAGAGAACCAAGAGAGCTAGACGCACTGTAGAACAAATCTGTTCTTTTGAATCCAGGTCTTTACGACATGTCCCTTGCCCCCTCAACATCCATAGCCTTTCCCACACTACCATGCTGTCTTTCAGAATTACCAAGTCAGGCTGGGTTAACCGTTTGAGATAAATTTCTTATTTCCCAAAACTGGAAATGGAATCTGTGACTCTTGGTCCTTAATATAGAGGATGCTGCTTCTCTGTGTGGCAGATGGTATGCTTGGATGTGGTGCTCATAGGCTTCTTTTAAACAGATTTTGTTTTGAAAGCTATTCATCTTTGAACTATGCAGTGAATAATCAGAAAATACACTGAACAGTGATTTACACATACCATGTATTTGTATGAATTGTACGTCTGCTTAACCCATAGTCTACAGAGGATATGTCTGTGACAGTGGTCAGCTGTATAAGTCTACAGCAAACATAGTGTAAAGATTTATGACTTGAGCTGTGTAGGTCAGCGATTCAATCCCTGCTGCTCACAAAGGTTGTGGCTATCAAACATGCAGATGTCCCTTTAGTATACCTGAGGAGTACAAGTCACACTAACAGCATCTAAAGGAAGATGAAGAACAACAGGCATATTTGCTGACATGTTATAGGTGCAGACATCGTGCATCAGCAGCCTTTCCTGCCTATGTTGAATTGCAAGAAGGGCATGGGAGTCTAAAGGATGTTTTGGGAAATCAGTGTAGAAGCACCTCTGAGCTGACAGGTTGTATCATCACTTTTAATGCATAAAGTTACTCCTGGCATACTTGTTTTCAGTAGCTTTTAAACAGGGTTGAATGCTGTAAGCAAAGAACCTATGGTTCCTTTGACATGTTCCTGCTTTTTTTCCTCTCTTCACCAGGGTCTGTGAGGCTGACAGAAGTTTCATCAACTCAGTTTCTGGTTTTCTGTCATTTTAGATATGCATAGTTTCCTGTCAGAACTGAGACACTTTTATACTTTTCACTGTGGCATACCGGAACTGTAATTTAAAAAAAAAAAAAAAAAAAGTAAAAAGGAGGTAAAAAGACAATACTCGTAGTGTTGGTGATTCAGTATTCAGTAAAGCAGACTATTTCCCCAAATGCACAGAATGTGTGATAAAGATACTGCTTTAGTAATATAAGAAGTACATGAGACCTCATGAAAGGTTTGTGTAACAGTAAATACGGGGTGTGAATTTCTTTTCTATATCTGTTGGATATAGCTAATAAAGACTAGTAGGCTGCCTACAATGCCATCTGTAACAATATGAAGACAGATAAAAAAGCATATGTCTCTTTCCCCTACCTTTTTTAATTTGCTTTTAAAGCTTAGTTTGAATGGATAGTGCTGGATCTTGGCTTTTTTTTTTTTTTCTTTTTCAGGTGTTTTATTCTAGCTCTATTAGTAGTACAGTCCTGTGGTAACTGAAGAAACCTCCTCATGTAGTGCAAAGTGTTGTTAGTGGAACATTAACAAAATCATTCTTTTGACAGTGAAAACAAAACAAAGAACTTTCCAAAATATGTGTCCCGAAAACTCTACAAAACCAAATCATGGGCTTTGCATAGTCAAGCGCGGGGGTGTGTGTGTGTGTTGGCTGTGGTAGTGGGACAGCCATTGGTATATATCTTTGCACATAATAGTTTAAATTGTTAACTTCAGATGAAACCACAAAGGACTGGCCCAGTAATATCTTGTTTATTCCTGCACACAAAACTTCTGTTGAATTAAATGAAGTTACTGTATTCTTATGGAAATAAATGAAGTCTGAATGTCCAAAGGCAAATACAAACTCCTCTCTTCCAGATACTATGCAGAGGGTTAAAAGAATTTTATAACATTTCTAGCCCTGGCATACTCATGGGAGTCCATATAGCTTTCAGTGTATTTTTTTTTTTTAAAAAAACCCTCAAACTCAGTGATCTTTATTAAACAAATGGCTAAATTTGGAGTCCAGAGGAATTTTTCCCTAAAATTGGGCAAGACTCTGCATTATTTTTGTTTTCCTTCTGAGGATCACAGGGAGTTTTACCTAACAAATACCATGCTCTGTAGAGAACTCGAAACAGTATTGGTGATATTCTTGATTGCTTCTGATTTCTCTATCACATGATAACTTTGGCCTCTAGTTTTTAGTACAGATATTGAGGTCTTTACAATGACTGAAAAGTGTTTTGCAGCCCGTGGTGGGTGATTGTGTATGAAGTAGAATTACGAAGTAGTTTTCTAAAAGAAAGATGTATTGCATGAGTGCTTGAGATAGCAGACAACTGGAGTTGATGACTCAGGTCGCCACAAATGTGTTTTGGGATTCCTAGGTAAGTCCAAAGGCTGAATACTGATCTAAAATGAAGAATACTGACCTCTTGAATGAGAATGTTTAGCTTTAACTATTTTTGGCGTTATCTTCTTGTGCTTTGGTTACTTACTCACTGAAATATTTCTCCGATTCAAATAGCACGGGTAGGGGGCACTCTCTCCCTAAAATTGAAAGGCTGGAGTCTAGACCAGTTTGAAGGTTTGCAATATTGGGGTAGTTAGTTTCTACGGGTCAGCCTTCCTACAGTGAATAAAAACATAGAGAATCCTTCTGTGCCATTTTAAAGGAGCAGCAAAAAGTATAGGTAAGGCTGCTGAGGACTTTGTATTTTACCGCTTCTTACCAAGTACTGGTTGCCCACCATCATATTTAGGGGGCTCCCACTGCACAGTACAGTAGTCTTCTCCAATGTTGCTGATCTTGGGAGCTTCTGGAGGGTCAGGAACATCTGAAGAAAGTGTGAGAATGAATGAGTGTTGTAATTCTTTCAATTTCTTTATACAAGTCAATGATACATTTTTCTTTAACATTTTTTCTGTATTGTATTGATACAGCTTTGTCAGACAGCAACAGTAGGTACAATTGCGACTGTATTATCTTGGTCTAAAGTGAACCCTGCTCTTTGATGCTTCTGTGTTATGTTGGTTTTCCTTTAAATGCCAGTGATTATTCAGCTCCACTGTTCTTCCCAGACATAATCAACTTTTTGCACAAATGTAAGGTTACAAGGCAATTCCAAAGTTTTCTATTTTCTCTAGAATAAACTTTCTATAGAATACAATGGCTGTATGTATTTTGTTGATTTGGAGATATTTATAGTAAATATCCTGATTTAGGATTTATAAAAGATGAAAAGAGACTTAGTATTTACCTAAGCAGTGAATTCTACATTTTAACACTGTAGCTGAAAGTATTTTTCTTTTATAATTTCTAAATTTGATTATAACCTGACTTTTTGTCATATGTGTGGCAGGGTATAAAAAAGTTAAATATGAAAAATTTTATAAAAATTACTGACTCAAAAATCATGTTCCCCCCAGCTCTTCTGTGACTCATAGTGGCAACCTGTTTATCTTATATCAATACATTATGTCTCTTTATTCCATTAACCATTTACTGCTTATAGAATGAAGTATTCTCAGCTTAAAAACATAAACCACAGCAAAATGACAAGTTTTTCTTATCTCAGACAAGCATGAAGCATATACTTCAGAAAGCAATGTCATCTATAGAATTATGCGATCACCTGAAACTGGAAATACATAAAAAGGAAATACATGGATTTCTACTGGGAGTTGTTCTCTTACCTTTTCACACAGAAGGCAACTACCTGTGAAAAAATACTTTTGCCAAATTTTGTGATTAGTAGTATTCCTGCCTTTATGATTCTTTCCTTTTTTTCCAAACCTAAAGTCAGAATTTGCCTCAGTTTTAGAGAAGGGTGAGTTTCAGTGAACTCAAGATGCTTTCATGCTCCAGTTGTTTCCTTCCTTCACTTACCAATAACTTTGACTGTGATATCAGCCTTATCTTCTCCCACTGGATTCTTAAGTATAACTCTGTATACTCCCTCGTCCTCCTTTTCTGCTCCTTCAATGATGAAGACACAGTGGTCTTCATGCATCTCCACACGAACTCTGCCTTCAGATTCAAACAGAAGCTGTGGGCAGTGAAAATAACAGATAAAGACATTGTAAGTTGTACCAGGGACAGCTTGTTGAGCCCATATGTAAGCTGGTGAAAATCTTCAAATTATTGAATATTATAAAAATTATTGAAAAGCTATAAAGTTTTTCAAATTCTATTTGTGTGTAGAAAAGAGAAAATATAGACTAAGTGGCTCACCTAAATAACATTTGGGGAAAACATTTCTGAAAGTCTGCAAGTTGTTAAGATTCTTTGCTAGTTGCACATACCCAGTTAAGCTTCAAAGTTACTAAGTACTTCCACAAATTCCTACTTGGGATAGCTGCTAGAATCAATGTAAAGATGTTTTCATGGATGACAGTTTGGTACTGTGTAAATTCAAGAAGGTTTACAAATTCAAATGGTTGAGCAAACATTCCTGATCAACATTCTACATCTCATATCAGATAACATGGATTTGAACAATTTCCCTCCAAAAAATTGACCATGTTTCTTGTAACTGTTAATGGCATCAGTGTGATTTCTGTCACTCAGGAATGTCATATGGGGTAACTTCCTACTCTTCTCTGAGTTGAGGTCTAAACATAATGAATACAACTTTGTTGTACGTTTATAATACACTCCTTTACATGCCCGTGTATCTTTGGACTTAGAACACAAACCATTAGAAAGCTTATGTGCCTGAATACTGACTAGTACAGCAGAATCCTAAACCTGAAAAAGGTTTATTGTTGCACAATAAATGTAAAATATTGTTGAGTCTATCCAAATAGAAGTTATTTATGTCAAAAAGGAAACTTGTGGGAAAAGGAATCCACTTTCACTGCTTTGTACATACACAGTCCACACTCTTGACCCACTGTCACCTTCTCCTGTGTCCTCTAAGATTTTGTCCTAGTTTTTTTCCTCTAGTTATTACTGAAGTTCACAGGTTAGTGTGTGTGTGTGAATATTAAAAAGTTTTCAAGTAACTGCTTTGATTCCTTGTAATCCAGCTACTGTGTGATGGTAACTAGAAAGAGATTTCCTCAATCAGCATCTTACTCTAAAATTACTTACCAGATCTCTTCTCCTCATTCAAAGAGATTGTGAGGCAGGACGCTGGGCCTGATGTGCTATTTGTTTCACCAGTTTTAATATCTACTGACTTTAATTTTATTCCCTTCTGAATATGACCTTTTATCTGGAAAACACTAAGCAAATTTGTGTTTATAAATAATAAGGAGCTTACCTTACTAACAGTATTTAAATCACTGCTGTTTTCTGAGGGAGTCATGGAATCATCATTGCTTCGAACAAGGTCACTTTTCTAGGTAAGAAAAAAAAACACAACAGAAAATCAAATAAGTCTTTCTGAGCTGAGCAGTAACCTAGGTTTGTTAGGGGAGTTGAATATAGAGGTGTGAGAAAAGCAAAGAGCAAAGTAAGGCAGCAAGCAGACCTGGGAAGGATATCAACTGATACAAAATTAAAAAGCAGAAATGAAAATAGATGTACAGATTGCAGTGAATTAAGGGAAGGGTAAGTCAGCAAAACTAAATTTACAGCTTAAACAAAGATGCATGACGTTCTCACAGTAGAATTGTAACTGGTTGTGTTCTGTGGAACCAGTTACTTATCTTGTGTAACTACAAAAATAAGGATTGTTTCTTTCTGTAACAATGGGATAGTAAGTCAAAGTAAATGTTTTAACACTCTGAAATATAGTCAGGTCTGTAACACACATCAAACAATGTATTCTGAAGCTGTGCTACTGCTTGTTAGGATTTCATTAGTAAGTAGAAGTTATTCATCCTTCAAATCAAGACTGTCTTCTTTTACTCATATTCTGCTTTTGAAATAACACTGTATAGGGGTTGTTTGATACCCATAGTCATTTTATCAGGGAAACTTGTGTATGAGCGTGTCAGTTGTTCTTGGTTCCCAAAAGAGGGACAAATGGCTTTTTTGTTTCTATACTAATTCTTCATTGAAAAGTCCGAAGTGTTATTAAATATGCTAACCTGAACAAAGGATGCAACAGAATCATGAATAAATGAGATCAGGGAAACTAACGTAACTGGCAATATTATTTTGTCTATTTTAACACCTATGTGAAGTGTATTGATGCTGTAAAATATTATGCAAAGTGTTTCTGTGTTTTGTGCTAGCTATAGCTCAAGAGCCCACAGATGATGAGGGGTGGGAATGTTCTGAGATAGCCAGAAAGGAAGCTCATTTAGAATTTAGAAGCTAGACACAAAATCTTTTCTTTGATGTTTTGTAACTGCTTTGATAAGGCAAATAGCAAGTGTCCTCTATTTTCATTATACCAAATACAGTTTTACCCCAGTGGTCTGCTAAGAAGACATTTTCTTCACAGACTGTAGAATTTTTGAGAAAGATTAAAAAAGAAGCTGCCATCTCCAGATCATGTCCAATCTATCAGGTGAAGGTGATGGGGATGACGCATCATTTATTTCTTTTTCAGAGGTGGGAAGAGAATTAATGTGTATGGTATCCTACTGTCTGCATGTACATATGTTTGCTCCTATATACTTAGCCCCTTCTTTTGGAATAGAAAACTAGGCAGCAGTTCAGAAAAAGAACAGTTCGGGATGACTCTTACAAAAGCAGCTAAATCCCAAACAGCTGCATTGCAGATATTTAATTTTTTATTGAGGTTTTAAAAATATAGAATTAAAAGGAAGATGAAAATTAACTATGAATTGTAAATCAAAGATTTGAGAAAGAAAATAAATTTCCTGTTGTGACTTCCTTGCCTCAGACATTGTGTCAGGTTACACATTACCTTGTTTACTTTCTGCCAGATGACAGTGGGTGTCGGATCCCCCGATACGGGAACATCCAATCTCAATTTGTTCCCAGCCACAACGACAATAGTGTCAGGGGATTGGCCCAGACAGTCAAGGTGGATTTTGGGAGGTTCTATAGCAAAGGCAGAGAAAGTAAGTTTTAAATATAGCTTGAGTGTTCTGTATGAGGAAAAGAAAAAGTTAATATTCATATATTAAATTAAAAATGAAGAAGTACTGCTCCCTTTGCTATTGAAAACAAGTTTGCTTGCATATAAATGACTGTTGTTCTTACCTTCTCTTGGTACAAAATCAATCTTGACCTCTGGGGAAAAAAAATGCGGGGGGAAGGGGTTAGGATAAATTGACTAAAACCCAGAATTTACATAGCATCTGCACCCACAAATTTTAAAACTATTCTTCATTTAAAACCTCATAAGGCATATACATCAACAGATTAATGCAATGAACTGGAAAACAGGCTTTGCAAAACAATGTAATAATGATACACAAAATAACAGGGAAAAGCAATGTGCCTATGTTGAGGTATCAGGAAAGAGGTTCTGCATACCCTTTCCTGGTATAACCATGATTAATGCCATCATTTCATCCCTCTGGAATTCCCATTGAATATTGTAAGATAACTTACCCAAAAACTGAAGCTTGGCAGAAAGGTTGTAAGCAAATCCCTGAGGGATGAAGGAATAATCAGCCTCATCAGCTGGTGTTACATCCTCAATAGTTAACTTATGGATTCTGGAAACATGAACAAATACATTTCACTCCCTTACCTTGCCTCTTCAGGAGAAACAGGGCTATCTCAAGGGCTAAGGTGCAGGCTATAGGATATTAACAGACATTACTATTTCCTCTCCCCTTGCCCTAACATCAAGTCAACAAATCATCAGGGCTGTAAACTGCTCTACTTTTAGTATTGAAGCAAATCCAGATGAGCATGTTGTCTATGAATGGATTTTTCTTGTCAAGGTAGATGCATAGTCTAGTCTGAACAGAGGAAGCAGTTTCCCTGTTTTAGTCCACTTAGAGCGGTTGTAACACTGCTGACTGGTTTCATTTGATAAGATTTTGACTACAATAAATTCTGGAAAAAGAAGCTAAAAATTGATGCTCCATCCCTGTATTATTGTAAATTCAAAACAGAATACAGAAAGGGAGTACCAAGGAAGACTTTACCTAACATGTAATGCTTATGTATCTTTGGAATCTTCTTGGTCTCCATTTCCAGTAGTAGTTAGAGTGCTAAGAAACTTGAGCACAGAATTGCACAACTGTATATCTTAACATGAACACTAATTTCTCTGAAGGGGTTTATACGTAAGTGCTATCTAAATCTGTCTAAACACTACTGCTAATTGTTAATTAGGTTTTAAAACACTGGCAATGTGTTTTCTTCCTAGATTGTTTGAATATCAAGAAAACATGAAATCCTAATGAAAACTGAGAATGAATTCTGCTGATGTAGCACTAATGTCATACATGCAAAATGTACCAACACAGAAAGACTGCATACATACCAAAGTAAGTCTATGACTACAACTTGATTGTGTATGAGAAGGTTTTTAGCATTTTTCCATTTAGCTGGAGCCAGGACAAAGTCTTGTTTTACATTCCTGTCCCCTGAGATAACAGTTCCTGTGGACTGTAATGCAATACCCAAGCCTGTACCTGCTTTCTGAAACAAGACTAACCTGCCAATATGGGAGATCTTTATCCTTTCATCTGGGACCAGCTCCTTTCCATTTTTCAACCAGATTCCTTTCACATTTTCATCAGAAACTTCACACTTGAAGACTGCCTGGTCACGGGCCTTCACTGTCAGGTCTGCAATGCTCTGATAAACTTCCAGCTTTTTCTCTGATATTGTGAGAATAATTGAGACACACATCAACAAATCAGAATAGCTCTGTAAGTAAACAGTTGATGTGGATTTACTGAGTAGAAAAGGCTAGGGCTGAACAAGCTGTCTGTGGAAGGGTGAAATATGAAGGGAAATCCACAGCATGCAGGGCTTTAACAGGACTGATATCCTGATAACAACAGGTGCTCAGCTTATCTGCTATATCCGGCACACCGGTCTGAGTTCTCCTTGAGGCCTTTATTACCAAACTTTATGCCCCTTATTAAGTCTTCTTTTTCCCTGGCACAAGGATTATGTTACCCCTACGTGCTATCCTGGAGAAGGTTACCTTCAGCCTGTTTTCATTTTTCAGCTTCTCTGGTTCTGTAATATTACCTGTGCCTACCTTGTACAATTAGTTCAGCGACTGATACCCCACCATTGGTCTTCACGGTGTAGTGTCCACTATCCTCCTTGGTTGACTCATTAATGATTAGATACTGCTTTTTTCCATCTTTCTTGAACCGATATTTGAATGTTTCTTCCCGTGTCAGCTCAATTCCATCCTTTTCCCTGCAATGCCAAATAGTGTTGAGTCATTTTTCTATGGTTGGAAGAGAAGAATAAGAGTCAGCTCAATGTTACTAGAGATTGGAAGACACAAGATAAATCCAATCTTTGTAGCATTTCAAGAGACTGTTGTACAAATGTTAGCAGAACCAAAACCAGAATGCTTCTAGCTTGACTGTTAATTTAAGATGTTCGAATTCTGGTTTAGGAGAGTTCACTCACAAGGAGTTACTTGATTGTTACTTTCATGTTTATCTGTAGCATATAAATAGTATGATAAATGCTGTAGAAGATAGAGATGAAGATATGCTTCATCAGCAGGGAATGCACCACCTTAAAAGCTGCCATAAAGTAAATGGGACTTGCTGGGAAATTACTTAAAAATCTTAACTTTCCTGATGTGAACTATAATTGTTACAAATTCATGGTTTACGGGCATCAGTAAAAGAAGAAAATTTTAGGATGGAATTAAATGAAAGATATATTTTGAATTTTGTAGCCACTTCCATTGAAGGATGCCACAGTATATTTAAGACATTACTAAATTAAGCTTCACCATCCAGCCTGGGAGGAAATTTGATCATTGTAATTTCCAATCATTATGAAGGGAAACAAGCAGAGAGGATTCATGCTGTTTAGTCAAGGTCACACAAAAATACATAAGACTTTTTAGAGATTTCCTGTTCCTAATCCTAAATAACGTAAACAGGCTACATGAAAATTACTTGGAATTTCTTCCACTAACTCATTTTGTAGCTTTTTTCTATTTGTCATTATTATTTGAATATATTTATATCATGTTACTTGAATACTGCTGCAGTTTGTAAATGAAAAAGTTTTTCTCTTTGATACTTACATGGAAGAAGAAATAGAAAAGATATTATGCTTTTAATAGAGTAAGAATTTTCTTTCTACCTTGTGTTGTTTGTTATCAGTGGCTATTCAGCTTAACAAATGAGCTTACAGAATAGCAAATTGAAATGCTGCTTAGGGCCTCACTTAAATACTATAGCTCTAATCTCTAGGTAGATGGCAAGGAAACATTTTGCCCCTGTCAGAGTCTGCTGAAGTAAATCACAAGATCAAAACTTTAAGCAGAGACAGGAATCCTACAGCTTGTGAATTAGATGTACCTGCTGCAATTGCATTTCAAAATATCTACAGGTTACTTCCTCCTAACTGTTCTTTAGAGCACAGCTTATTGGAACGTATAGTTGGTTTAGAAAAGCACTAGCCTCCCTTCCAGATCACAGGACTACAACACTAGTAAGGGAAGAAACAAAGGATGCCTATAACAACCATGTGAAATACTCAGGTTAATGTTTCCTCTGCTGGCTGAGTGGCAAGAGTCTGAGGCCACATGCAAGATGCTCTCCTAAGGCTGCTATTCTCATTCATGCAGATCAGTTCTGGAAAAAGTGCTACAATGCAATGAGTAAACCTTTGCTGAACTGCTGAGAGCGGACTGTAATCCAGAAGTTCAACATGCTGCTGTGGCAAAACCATGCACATGCTGGTGTTCCAAAGCTGAATTTTTAAATTTATTTTTTGGTCATGTATTTTGATACATGGCTCAAAGATATCTGAATGCTCTATTCAGACATTGATAAGAAATAGATCTCTTCAAGTGTTGCCTAAATAATGCAAATAGATTATTTGCAATGACTAGTGTCTTAAATCCCTGGAAAGGGAATAGCATATTTAATTTGTGTTTGTTTTAGTGACTAGCACACTGCTGATATTGTGTATGAGTGCTTGCGGAGGTGTGTACTGACAAATAGCGGAGTGATAAAACTGTAAACCACAAAAAAGAGCTCTCAGATATCATTTGGCTTGAAATAATACACCGCTGCAGTGAAAAGCGAAAAACCTCATATAAGGTAATATTACAGGCCTTCCATCGGTAACTAGAGCAATGAAGTAGAAGAATCAGTTAGTATTAAAGTGGAAGTAGAGGATTTTATAGAACCATAGAAGTGTTGGTTTAAAGACTACTGCAGGTCTTCTGGTCCAGCCTCAAACTTGAAGCAGAACTAGTGCAATAAGAAATGCTTTCCTATTTCCTGTTTAGAATGTAAGGATAAATTGATTATTATCTTCTAAGATATCACTGATGTAGGTACTATGTGATAATGGGGACACACAGATTTATTGTTACGACATTACTATAGTTTGTTTTCATTTGGAGCCGCTAAGATGATGCATTCAGAGATGGGAAAAATTAGGTCGAAACTATGTATTTTATGACATCTTTTCTTCTCCAAGAATTATATTTCCAAGACCTGAAGTTTGGAAATAACTATTCCATAGTACTGCATAATAATAGAGTAAGACCTTTCTGGGTGATCATGAGAACATTCTTTCCTGATGTGAAGAGACCCACATAATGAATTCTCCAAGCCCCTTAGCCGGATAACCATGCTTAAGAGGCTGTAAGCCTTATTTCTGTCTTTTGCAAGTCACATAGCTGCTTTTGTTCATGTGCTTGTGATTTCATATCCCAGGTTTAAAGGGTGCAAGAGCTATAACAGGTGCCCTGATTTAGTGCCTGTTAGTTGGCCTAAACAGTTGAGCAGTTCCCTACCGAGCCATAAAACTGGAACACTTTCTCCATACTGTTTTATGTCTTCCCTGGACATTTCTCTCCATCGTGTCCAAAATGCTCCCTTTGTTGCCAAAAAGCATTGACTGACTCTCACATAATAAAACCAGTAAAATACAGTGTAAATGTCTTAACTGCTCAGTTTTCTGTTGCTATGGTTTGAAGAGTTTCTCTGACCACTTGCTGCATTTCAGGCTGAGACAGCTGCTGATTTGCCCTTGTCACACCAAATGCCCATCCCACAGATAACAGCTCTGCAAGATGGTATGGGAGTTGTTCAAAGGCATAGGATCAAAGTGTGGCAGCTGCACTGTGCTCTGAGAGGGACAGATCTGGTTGCCCCATCTCTTGTGACCAGGCATCTGTAAGCAGCTCCTGAACAATAGCATATGTGTGCCTGTGCATGTGGCTTTAATAGCATAATGCATATGCTGTACTAGCTCTATTTAAATTCTGAGTTCCTTCCTTTGGGACAGCAGATGAGTGGTTGGCACTTCCCAGGAATGTAATGGGCATTGTGGGAACAGTTGATAACCATGTGCCTGAAGCTGTTAACAAGCACAAGAGAATTTCATCTGGTAGAGAAATGAAGTGAGAACACTGTGCATAAGACCTGGTATGTGAGCACTGCCTGCTGTGCCTGCCGAAGCAGCATGAACCTTTTAGCTTCCGTTCAGCTGGGATGTCCAACAAAATGGACTCTATGATCTAAATGTTTGTCATCTTAATCCTGCTCGCTGTATATGCATAATGACCAGCTTTGCAGGATCACTGCAACAGGTATGTTAAAATAAGTCAATGACCTTCCCTCTCGGTTTCAAGAGACACTAATTTTTTACCTAAGAAAAAATACTTTAAAAAAAAAAAACCAACCCTCACTGCAGTTGAGAAGACCAGAAGACTCCATAAAGTATAGCAAACTCATCACAATACAGATCTGACTAGTCTGGGCAATAGTTAGACATTACTGTTAAGTGTTTAGAAAACTTTAAAAGCTAACAGCTTGGTACAGTTAGTAGCATCCTGTAAACACTGAACAAGAAATTCTAGAGAAACTATAAAATAGCTATACTTCCTTTGTTTTCTGCCATATTCTGGCCTCTCATTTACTTCTCAATGTTTGACATGTAAGAAGAGGATCAATCTTTTCCTGATAACTATTATGTAGGATGCCTTCTTCCTTTTTTATTCCACATCTCTTCTCCACAAACACTGGTCCTAGAATGTCCCATGGAGCGATATGGTTGGGGTTTTTTTTCCCTTTCTATTCCCTTACCATTTCACAGTAGCTCCTTCCTCAGACACTTCACACTCGAACTCCACTCTCTCTCCAACCATCACCATCTGGTCCTCCAGTGGGTGAGTGATCAGGATTGGAGGTTCTGGAAATAAAGAGACTTTTATTAAAACAGTATTCTGAAAGACTGAAGACCAGAGGTAGATTTCACCACTCTGTACTCTACAGGAAGAAACCCTGGCCAAACACATGGTGATGTTCTCTGTGTTGGAACTTAAAATTTACTATGCCAGATCACATTATCAATATTATTAAATGGCCTTTTGGGTTTTGCTTCATGAGATGGAACACAAACACAGGATTAGTGAGTTTTCATATATATTCTGAAATTCTAAACTGGAGGCATTAGTATTATATTGTTACTGGAGGTACTACTTAATCTGCTTGTGGAGCTTGAGGCACATGTTTATCTTGAGTGGAACCAAATTTTTAAAGTAAGAGTCTAGTCCTATTGTTCGGAAGATGTAAATCACTTTCCAAATGAGAATTAATGGTAATTATTGCTGTGCTGGTTTCCTGTCCTTTCTTAGTTGCAGCTATAGGGAAAATTTTCCTTAATTTAACTGTAAGAAAAATACCTACTTCAACAGGTGTCAGAATTTGGTCATATGGTTGAAAGTTTCCTTTCCTATGAGATTAACTAATCTGAAAGTAGAAAACATGACAGTAACTCAACGCTAAACACTATGGGAGATCTCTTTCCTTTTGCTACCATTGCTCACCTTTTACAAACAATTCTGTGAAGCTCTTCTCCTCCCCTACCACACATTCATATGCTGCATCGTCAGCCAGAGAGCAGTGGTTTATGGTCAGTACTCTCTTATTCCCAACAGCCTCAAAAATATATCTGAAAAGAGAATCTAAATGTAATTATCAAAGAGTAACTCTCTTGGACCCAGTAACTGTCTTCCCCTGTCTGGTAGAGAAAAAGATTCCTACTTTTTTTCTGACATCAGTGACAATGTTTGTTAGTACTTAAACCCTATATCCCTGTCTCACTGACAGAAGCAGTGTTTGAAAAACTAGCACAGGAAATTATGGAGAAATCTTCATACAAGTGCGATACACACAAACTCCTATGAATGGTGCTGCATGCTTTTCTAACATCTAGCCGTACAACAAACCTGACTACCATTAAAAATGCCTTGTCATGCCTTCAGCACACCATCACTGGAAACTGGTTTTACAAACAAGCTACACTGAAATATATCCCATATCATGAGAAAGTGATTTTGAACCCTGGATATACACATAAAGATCAGAATATAATCTGAGGACTTACTTGCTGAGTAGGTAGATGTATGCATCCAGATCCACGTGTAGATATATAGAGAAGAGGGAAGAAGAAGAAAGTCATGAGAACAGCAAACTGACCCTGAGCCAAAGCACTATGTAGATTCTTTCTCAGCTCCTATTTCTCCCTATTTTATTCCGTTCTTTCTAAGAAAAGCTAGTTTTTCCACTTTGTCCAAGCTGTAGCCCATTCCTTTTTGGATTTCCCATATTTCTAGTTTACCTGCCACTCATTTGGATCTCCTGTCCGTTCTTCAGCCATTTCACATCAGCATCTGGATTGGCAACTTCGACCATTAATTTAATCTTTTGCCCTTTGTCTACTTGGTAAGCTGGATCCAGTTTCTTGAGGAATGCTTATGATGAAGAATGATTTAAAACAAAAAAGAGTATCTTAATTTTTACACTTAATTTTTCTTTGCATTCTCTGTCTGGAAAGCAAATTTTTATTCCCTTCCCTGTTCTTTCCCACCATCTTAAACCTTCCCTGCTTACTGCATCTTTCTTTGCATTTTTACCATTTCTGTCTTTTCTTAATCCTGCTCTGTTTTCTGTTATTCCTTAACATAGGATGAAAAGCACATGATACAATCTAAAATAAACAAAGTAGAATATTCTAAATCAGACGTGAATTTGTACTTCAACACATCCTAAACAGAGTTACAGCTATGTCTGCCCATGTAGGAAAATGATACTGATCATCTCAGGACTAATGAATAGCAGCTTGTGTTCTCTGTTTATGACTTTTAAAACAAATCAGTTAAAATTAAAATTAAAAATCAGGTAACTAATATTTCACCAGACTAGAAAAGACTCAAGAATTCCAAATATATCATGCCAATGGAAATGAAATTCTTTAACTGTATCATCAATGCCTGACATACTGACCAGTTTTGGGGAGTGGGGGGTGTGTTGTTTTTATGTTCAGGGAAAGCTAAGGGGAAAAGAAGAAACTAGTTAAATGACCATGTTCAGAATATCCAGAGTTTCAGAGCAAGGTAGCTGAGAGCTTTGGGCATAGCTTTAATCTTTGGTAATCAGCATCTTGCATGTAAAGACTGTGTAACAATTGGAATAGGAAACTTCTATTTCTCGTGCTCTTGTATCTGGCCGCTGCTCAGATGACACTAATATTTGAAGAACTCCCAAAAAAAAGATAGGGACATGTATATTTGGAATAACTACAGCTTGCCAACCTGTACTTTTTTTCTCTTCCTTCTTTATGCGTTTGAGGCGTTTCAGCATCCCACGCAAATCTGTGATACCATACTGAAAAGCAATTTTCTCGTATTCGGAAGGAGGAGCTTTCCTCAGGATTTCCCAGACATCAACATCAGATTGTGATTCAGATTTTGCTTCACCTCTGCAGAAAAGGATTAGAGTACCTGAATGCCACTATTGAGAGCATTTAAAAACAGCTGTAGGCTTGGCAAGCTACACATTGGCTTGATGAAGCCATTTCTTAATAAAGATTTTAGCAGTCTAAATTTTGCTGTGTTATTAGCTAAAATAATTAAATAAACCTGGTGACTAGTTTTACTTCTATTTATGTATACAGTGATTAAAATCCAATTGCTGTCCTGAAGCGTTTACTTTCTAATAGACAAAGAAAATAAATATTAACTTCACTTTAATGATGTAATGGAAACACAAGAAGACTTATTTTCTAGTGATGGTCATACACAAAACATGTGGCAAAGCAAGGAACAGAACTGATATCCTGAGAATGCCTTAGAAACAAGGCAGTTGGTTAATGCTAATAAGAAACAATTCCTTTTCTACTCAGAACATTTTTTCTCTTCACTAAAATGAATCAGAGATTATCAAATATTTGTCATCTATTGTAAAGAATATTGTTGACTATAGTAATCTATAAAACATCAAGACACTTAGACTTGTGAGTAGCAGCAAACAAGACAATTATTTACAATTAACTACTTATTTTATAGTTTAACCAAAGAACTAGTGATTATGGAAAAATTAACGTTTGGTTTAGCAAAACCAAGTGAAACGTTGGTTGTCTGGCTTTGGAAAAGGCATTCATTTTCTGTCATCATATTTTTTACTTAAAAGATCATAAATAGAAAAAAAAATTGGTGTAACCTTACCGATTTGCCGACCTCAAGAAGCTGCTGTATTCCAGAACAATGCAGAGAACCATTTGGAAAAACATGCAGCATCCCAATGGGCAAGAAAGAAGGCATCATTTGTTAATACAAGAGTCATGAATGTCATCTTCACCTTTAGCAGAACAAGCCTGTGCTTGTAGCAGGGAGATGAAGGAGCTAATGCAAAAACTCTGAAATAGGCTTAAGAAAAATGCTGTTCCCTATTGAAACCAAACTCACTCCCACACTTTGTACAGTTCCACTCTGCAGTGTGTAAGCACTTCTGCTTATTCCTAATTATGGCTGATTAGTCTTACAGGGAAACAAAAAGCTCTACTTTGCCCTGTCATCATGGAGTTGTTGCCTGTCACAGTTTGCATTTTGGTAAACAGAGAAAGGATGGAAGAAGTAACATTTTCTTAAAAATTTCTTTAGGAAAACGAACTTTCTGTGGCTGTTGTTTCTGGTATCACCAAGACCAAACACATTCCAGTGCAGCAATACACATCATTATAACGAAGCCACGTTCAGTGGTAAACCCCAACAAGAAGACAAGTTATGCAGCAGGTCATGCAGAGAAAAGTGGAGGATTATTGGGCATATTTCCTTTTTTTTTTTTTTTCAGGAAAAGACCATTAGTCTGTGAGAAATATTACTACTTAAAAAAGCATGACTGTAGTCAGTCTAGACAGGAGGTAGAACCAAACATTTCTGGTACGCCTTTTATTGCCCCAAAAAAGGCTTGCTTTTAACAAGAGTGCTGTTTGTTTAATTACCACAGCCTAGGCTTGGGGTTCCCAGCACCCTTGTAGTTCTTGAACAGAAAGGAAGCAAGAGGATTTCAACTCAGTGCGTTTGAGATGAACTACGGCATGAAATACCTTATATCTTTGGAGTGGTTTAGCACTCAGTAGCACTCATCAAATTGATAGGTGTATCTAGAGTACACCTGTCAATTCGAGGAGTAGTTTTGCCTAGCAGAAGGCAAGACAATTGAACTGATTTGCCAACTAGAACAAGGTATCTTTTTTTTAACATAAGCAGTTCTCGGGTTAGTTGCCCTGATCATATCAATGAGTAACTTTAGAAATATTTCTAAATACATGTAAATTGGAATAAATATGTAAGTACATAAAACTAGGAATATTTAATATTTTTAGCATATGCTGAGTTTTTGTACTAGTAATTAATGTTCCATGGAGCAAAGTGTATCTCAAAAGGAAATATAAAATCATAGGAAATAAGAAAGACTTAACAATTCAAATGTTATTATTTTCCCTCAGGCATTATATAAATATTAGTGGTGTCTCTATCTATCTGCCTATTTATATGTTGATTTGTATACACCCCTTTACCTGAAAATTTGCAGGTAGGATTATTCACAGAGTTTTCAAAAATATTTTGTGTGAGTTATTTTTAAATACACCATGAGAAAAATCTTATGATTTGGAAGCAATTCCACAGTCTAGTATATTTCACTATCAAGACGACTTCCTTAATTTTTGCTTCAGCTTTTCCATGACTCAGTGTCATCCCATTGTTATATCTGTCAATGCGGTTTTGATGCATGCAAGCTGAAATACAAGAAATTTGATCATAAGCCAGAGTACAGTCTCTTCCTTGGAAACACCAATATTTTCTAATTACAAGGAAAGGCTTGTAAGTTGCATGTAAAATGGTACTAAAAGCTAAAGGTTGTAATTTGTATAGTGTTTAATTGAGTTCTGAAAATTAAAAGAAAAAAATTTCTTTCTCTGCCTCTCAGCAAAGGTTTCCCCATCCCAGTACTCCTTTTTCACCGTTTTGTATTTGTTAAAACATTCTCTTTGATCCCATAAAGACACAAGGTTTCCACAGTTAGGCTGTACTCTTTCACTACCAACAGGAACTAAGCAGTGTATGAAAAGTAATAGAGCACTTGGACTCCTGAAGTTTCTCCCACCCTTACGTTACTCCCTGATGTTGGGGATCCTTATTCAGAGCGATCACCTCATAGGTTAACTATGGATGCACTTGGAGGCATTAAGATGCGGCTTAGTGAACCTGCTGTAAATGGAATATGCAGCTGATATGTTTTAAACATATGTGGAGGGGTTAAAAATAATTTTGTACATCCCGGAGATGGTTCCTTCCTATCCCATTACTGTCAACTGATTGGACCCTATCAGCTGTCACCTCCTTCAAGGTCTCTGCTCACTATCCGATTTAATAGTTCTGTGACAGCTGTTCCTTTCCTCTTCCCAGTGACCTCTCCTTGGCCCATGACATCTGTATGTCAACACCAGTTAATTAAATTACAGGGATAGGAGATATATTATTAAATTAAGCTCTCTTTATTATAGTGGGAAAGTTCATTACCTCCAGATTGAGAGGCACTTGTAAATTAGATGGGACAGAGCAGAAGTGGTAAAAGAATAATCAATTCTTTTTGAAACCTGCACAGCTTCTGAGAGTTCTTCAGCATGAGGTCCCTTTTCCTATTCTATTTTAATGAAGAATACTTTCACTCCATGATGAGTTTTTATGCCTATCAGTTCTCATTAATATAGGAGTGGTCTTCAACTGTGCTGTGCAAAGCCTGAAGGATCTACAAATTACTTATAAAGTGTCTGTGAAAAACAACTAGAAGCAGTGACTCTATCAATATGCTTAAATTCACTAAGCAGAGATTTCTAAGTCAAGAAAGGTCAAAAACACTGATAAAATGCAGTGAAATTTATAAGCTTCTATTAATTAAATATGTTTGTAGTCTAACAAATAATGAATAGTTAAATCCACAAACTGAACATTTCTGGAAATACCAGAGACTTGTACTACTTTTAAAAATTCTACCACTGCTCAAAACTAATTATGAAAGCAGAAGGGAAAGGCCGTAGGAGCGGGGCTCATAGTACTTAGCACTACATTCCAGCTGGAGTCACTGGATGAAATTATGCAAATATTTTCATGTTGGCCTCCATTTATTTGAAATTTTTAAAAAGATATCAACAATTGGGTTTTGCCCTACTTTTTTATAGAAATTAGAATGTGTGTACAACTACTGTATTTCAGGTCTCAAACCATACAGTTTTGATTATTGCCATTATTCAGAAAGCGTATTTTCCCTGCTTTAGAATTAAAAAAAAAACCTCTAATGTGATTTTTGTTTCAGACTTCTCTGGGGTTCATGATGAAACAGAAAACTTTGATATCAATTTCAGCTATAGAAAGTTTGATAGGTGTACTTTCTGTGTCATCTAGCTGGCTCCCCTGAGAGTTCTGCTTGCAGTGTTACTGCAAAGCCAGAATTCACTTCTAGTTGGATACACTGCATATTGCACAATACAGGGCTTTGTGTACCTATGTGACCTTGTTTGCCCCACTGAAATCTGGGCAAAACATGAGGCTGTTGCAGCTTTATTGCCTTCTGTAACCATGCTACTTCAGATATCTACATGATCCTCTACTCTTTGTGAAGTTAAAACACTTTTTATAAATCATGATACCAATACCTGAACAGAGTCTGGACACAGATTCACAATAACATTTACCCATGGAGTTGATTATGAAAATTTAAACTGAGTAAGTTTAGATTTGCAAAATACAAGCCTTGTGACAAGTGTTTATACTAACTTCAGGAGCTGGAAAGACAGAGTAAGCAGTCAAGGGCAGTGAGTGTGCTTGGAGTAATGGGATGATGATGAGCAGTGGAAACTTTACTTGGAATAAAAAGAAATGTTTTGTAACAGAGAAGCCTGTACATTTATGGAAGAATTGACTTCAGTAATATGTTCACTTAACGTATGTTTAAGGATGGATGGATCAAAACTTCAGCACATATTTGATAGGCACCAGCAGGTATATTATGCAAATGATTTTTCTGATTCTAATTTCTAAGACAATAGGCATTTAAAGCAGCAGGTTATTGAGAAAATCTAGAAATTCAAGGACAATTTAAAACTGCTAATAAAAGAAAGTGATGGTGAAAACCAAAGGACATTCAGAAAAATACATAAATTTGTATTGAATGGTCCACTCTTAACTTCCACTAATTGTTTAAAAGAATTTCTGGCTCAGAAATTGGCGGCTGATAATTTTCTTTTGTACTATCTAATTTTTGTCACACTGTACATGTAAGAAAGATAAAGATACATGCGTTATTTCAAACCAAATGGTTCTTATATTCAGTCTGACCCATGCATTTCTAGTAAAATTAAATAGAAATCTTACTCTCTGTTGGCAACAGTGGAATCCAAAACATCCAGATCAAGATGGTAAAGAGAGGAAAACACAAGTAGACAGGTTATGAAAACAGACGTTGCAAGGAGGAATGAGAATGGGAAAGGAAATTCCACCAAATAAAGTGAAAGTAAAAGCAAGAAATAACAATTAGAATTGGAAGAGTAAAAAATATTTATATAATATTTATACAACATAGAATATCTTTTTATATATACAACATAGAATATCTTTTTATATATACGATAAATAGCTATATAATATATAGTTGTATAGTGTAATAGTAACATTCAGAGATCTAATAAAAAGGCTTGTTCTCCCAGCAATCTGATGCAAAGTATTGTGAAAACTTAGGACAGAACATTCTTAATAAGGCAGCATTATAGACAGGTATTGTAAATTGTTGTGTTCAGGGTTTTTTTAAATGAAAAGTGCTGGTGGAAGCATGCAATTACCCTAGTCCCAGACTTTTCTATCTTGGGAAAGAATAATTTTTTTTTTTCCCCCTCTAGTATAAACCTAGCAGAAATGCAGCAAATTCTGAGTATTTGGGGAAATCGCCATGACTACCTGTCATCTTCTTTCCAGTTACAGCTGCTTTAGGAAAACTACAAAGATTCTGAATTTATGAAACTTTCATTTATTCTAGTTCTAGTGTTTTTGGAGTTGTTCAACAAAAGCTGGTTACTTTATTTCTCTGAGTCTATGGATTTTTACTCACCTCTTTTTCAGTAGGGCGCTAAAATTAAACTCTCCGCCTTCTTCGTGTCCCTCGGTACTGTATAGTAACAGAAAACCATAATTAGTTTCAGAAGGAAATAGGAATAGCTTGTGAAACTATATCATTATGTAGTTGATATATTTCTGTAGGGAGTAGTAGATGGCTTTAGAATGACTTAGAATGTGCATTGACATGGAAGGTGATTAATTCGGCTCTGTCCATACTTGCCTTCATATAGGTTTAAGAAATATATTTAATGAACTCGTTATTTTTCCTGTACTGATTACGGATAAAGTTGTACAGGGTATTAATTTGGTGGTCATATTGATCTGGAATGTATTCATTATCATAAAGATGCTGCAGAAGCTTTCCGTTAGAATCATTAGTGCTTTTGGAAAGCTGTAGTTTCAGGAATGTGGATACTGTTTACAGTGTGTGGTAGCATTTAACCAACCTTTTGTGGGGCTTCTTACAATCTAAAATAACTTTTTTTTTTTTTTCCTAGTATTATCCCAGCTGTAACGGTCTCTTAAGGCTCCTTGTGGTCCCAGAATTCATTATACTGAAAAAAGTGCCTAATCATTGGTGCTTGGGAGGAATTCTGTGATCTGACTTCAATTCTGAGATGAGGCTCAATATGCAGTTGTTAAACAAGCATCACGGCAAGCAATGTTGCGATGAATTGATTCGTGAGAACAAGAAAAAACAAGCAGGAGTTTTTTGATGTGTAATTCTGTCTATTACATACAGTGAACTCAAATGGACTGCACAGTGTTATTTTTGCTGTTCTGAGTCAAGTGTATTTTAGCTGTGCTCATGAACATTTGAATCATAGAATAGTTTGGGTTCAAAGGGATCTTTAAAAGTCACCTAGTCCAACACCCAAAGTACAGATCTACCCTGAAAACTTAGCATAAAGTCACTAAAATAACTTCTTTAGGTTTAATTCCTAAAAATCACTTCAGGGATTTGATATTAAAGTATTGTGAGTTACACTGGATTTCAATACTATTGATCATTTAACTTAGCCAAGAGAAAAAAGGTCATTTTTGCATTCAGACAGGGTTTAGAATGTCAAAATGGATTTTCTTCATCTCAGTGAGTCTGTCATCATCAATGTTCAGCTGCTTCTTGACATCTGTTATCTTGAGTATAAAATCTGGTGGTGCCATCTCGCAGCATTCAGATTCTTCAGCAGTAACACCTTATATTTAATTATTGGTTTACAGTTGTACAGATGGCAGTGGTAGAATCATAGAATCATTTAGGTTGGAAAAGATGTCTAAGATCATCAAGTTCAACTGATAACCTAGCACTGCCCAGACCATGTCCCTAAGCACCACATCTACATGTGTTTTAAATACTTCCAGGGATGGTACCCCCCCCCCTTCCCTGGGCAGCCTGTTCTAATGTTTGACCTCTCTTTCAGTAAAGAAATTTTTCCTCATGTCCAATCTAACCCTCCCCTGGCGCAACTTGAGGCCGTTTCCTCTCATCCTGTCACTTGTTACTTGGGAGAAGAGACCGACCCCCACCTAGATACAACCTCCTTTCAGGTAGTTGTAGAGAGCAATAAGGTCTCGCCTCAGCCTCCTCTTCTCCAGACTAAACAAACCCAGTTCCCTCAGCCACTCCTCATAAGACTTGTGCTCTAGACCTTTCACCAGCTTCGTTGCCCTTCTCTGGACACACTCCAGCACCTCAATGTCTGCCTTGTAATGAGGGGCCCAAAACTGCACACAGTATTCAAGGCATGGCCTCACCAGTGCTGAGCACAGGGGGATGATCACTTTCTTAGTCCTGCTGGTTACACTATTTCTGATGCAAGCCAGGATGCTGTTAGCCTTCTTGGCCACCTGGGCACACTGCTGGCCCATAGTCAGTCGGCTGTTAAACAGCATCCCCAGGTTCTTTTCTGCCTGGCAGGTTTCCAGTCACTCTTCCCCAAGCCTGTAGTGTTGCATGTGGTTGTGTGATTAAAGTGCAGATCATGGCACTTGGCCTTGTTTGAATCTTGTACAACTGGCCTCAGCCCATTGATCCAGCCTGTCCAGATTCCTCTGTAGAGCCTTCCTACCCTCAAGCAAATCAACACTCCCACCCAGCTTGGGGTCATCTGCAGATTTACTGAAGGTGCACTCGATCCGCTCATCCAGATCATTGATAAAGATACTGAACAGAAGTGGTCCCAATACTGAGCCCTGGGAACACCACTTGTGTTAAAGCTCTTTCAATGAGCCCTGCTAACTCCTGGGCAAAAATAGTTTTCCCCCTTTAAGACAGGCATACCTTGTCTGTTGCCAGTAGGCCTGGTGTCATGTAAACCAACCAATGGTCAAAACCCCCAAAATTCTGCCTATGACACCAAGCTCAGTGCCAGGTATTGACCTGCTGGCTCTTCTTAGTTCTTCCTTTGTCATTCCCTGCAACTGGAAGTACAGGGGAGAACACTACTTGTGCTCCTTATCCCTTAACAGCTTGTCCCAAGGCCCTGAAGTCTCTCTTGATTGCCCTTGGATTTCTTGTTGCAACTTCATCACTGCCTACCTGAAAAATCAATAATGGATGGTAATCCATGGGCTGTAGCAGGATAGGAAGGTTTCTCTTCACATCTTTAACCCAAGCTCCAATGAGGCAACAGACTTCCCTAACAAGTGGGCCCAGTCTGCATGTTGGGCCTTCTATTCTCTTCAGAAGGGAGTCTCCTATGGCAATGACAAGCATAGGCCTGCTTCCAGTACAAGCCACACTACATTTTCAACCACCTGTGACATCACAAGCACCTTCACAGCAACCTTCCCAGACAATGACAATGACCCATCTTTTTGTCATTACGGAAGCAGTCTGGAATCAGGGCATAGGCAAATCTAATGGTGGTGACACCTCCAAGCTAAGTGAACCATTGTCCCCATTATTGTTTGGTTCCACTTACAAAGCCTCATACCGATTATGCAAGGGTACCCCACCTGGGAAGGTGGGGTAGTCACAGAGGAGATGGGCCCACTACACCAGGCAGGAACTTGTCACCATTGCCCGCTATCCCTTAATAATTTGTATTCAGCTAGGCGGACAGGGGATGGGGAATCCCCCGTATCACACATCCTGCCTGCCTGCCTGTTGGGCCTGTCACAGGGAAGGCCGGCTGCGATGCCAACAGTCTGTCTCCCTCTCGCACTCCCTGATGCTCCTCAACCTGCTCACCTCCTCCCGGAGCTCTGTCACCCAGCTGAGGAGCGCCTCTCCTCGGGTGCGCTCGCTGCTGCCATCCCCCCGGCACCGGGGGGGCAGCATGTTCCCACCGGAGCTCTGCCTGGGCAACTGTGGCAGTCATGATGGGGGCAGAGCCTGGGGAGGCCGTGGCTTTCTGGCGGGTGGGTACCGTTGCTCCTAGTCGGGCTGGTAGAGCTCCAGCGGACCCCGCTTAAACTGCCGCCCCGCGCCTTGGCCGCTGGCGCCCCCT